TGAAGATTGTTTTTAATGTTGTTGGGTTTTTTTTTCCTTGGTTATAATTTATCGTTTGAAGATGGGTTCATCTAAGGCAGGGGTCTCCAAACTACGGCCGCAGGGCCATTTCGTCCGTGCCCGGCGACGGTACTTGAATTTGCTTGATAAAACGTATGTTTACCCACAGAGAAGGAAAACTTGTTGAATTTCACCGCTGCTAACCTGATGTTGAGTTTCTGAAACTGGAGAACTTTGCCGCTGGCATGGATGGCGTCAGTGTCTGGAACAGTCTGTGAGCAAACATTTTCAAACATGAAGTATGTGAAGTCAACACGTCGAACGAGAGGGAGTGATTAGCATTTGAAAACAATTCTTTTGATTGGATGCAGCAATTCGAAACCAAACATTGTTGAAATCTTGAAAAACCAAACGTCAGTTTCATAAATCCCATTAACTGTTTTACTGCTTAGTTTGTGATATTCGAATATGTGCGAACTACGTCTGATGTATCTATCTGTTTGTTAACGTCACGTTCTTTGAAAACCTTTTTAGTAAATAAATATGTTGGTTGGCTTTGTTTTTTGTACATTGCACGCCACTCACCCATGATTAACATGGGATACTAAACTTAGTTTTTCGCCTTTTTTTTCCCCCAGAGCTTTCGTTTTGGCTTGAAAGTATTATACAGAATGATTATCCGGCCCACGCTCGTCATTTTCTCCGCTATCCGGCCCGCCTTGAAAAAAGTTGGAGACCCCTGATCTAAGGATTCAAAGCAAAAGCAAAACATTGGTCGAAAGATAAAAAGATAACAAGTAGTGAACTTTAAAAATCATGAATTTTTTCCTCCCCAGTAAATATCTTTCGGCAATAACAATGGCGAACTCGTACGGTTTTTTTTAAAAATAATTTTTATTTCTTGTCGTATTTGCATCTGCTCTGTCTCTGAGGAAGGCTCTTAGCCGAAACGTTCTTTTCTTATTGTGCTGCCTTTTGATTCAAGCTTCCACATACCTTGTTCTACAATTATCTTCAACAGGCTAGTGGAGATATCGTTGTTTAGAAACCAAGCGGAAATTTGTGGGACCCATATTATAGCCAAGTGTAGTGTAAAACAATGAATAATGGGCGATAATGGGCGAACCTGATTCTGATTTTTGCCTAATGCTTAAGTGGTGCGAATACAATCAGTAAATAAAGAAGCATTAATTGGTGGTATTGTAAAAGCATAGACTTGTAAATACTACCAGTATGTTATTTTTCGGTGCGGATAAATGGTTGTTTTATTTTTATTTAAATTAAATGGAATCAATTAGCGTAACTGGGATTAATTACCGATTCCACATTTCTATTACCTTTTCTAAGGATTTTTTTTTTTCAAGTCACTCAAATTTACTTTGGTGTTTCAACATCAAACAGGAAATCCGAAAAAGGTGCGGTGTACTATGCAGACTGCATTTTTTAAAGAAAATTTTGTTTGTTCCAAAAGTTTACTTTTTAAATATAGAAAAAAAAAACGAATTCGCCGCCACTCCAAAAGTGCCGCCCGGGCGGTCATCCTCTGGCCCCTCCCCTCCCCCCCCCCCCAGCTCATGACGCGTACCACGATTGTAGTACCTTGAATGTATGTCATGAATCCTTTAAAAAAAACGAAATAACATCGCTGACATCGCTGACAACCATGTTAACCGTGCTGATTGTCACGTACCAACAGGCAATTGAAAACGTGATCTTTTTATTACTAACGTAGCGCTTGCATTCGGTACACATTTACCTACAATAGCATATGTCCTAATCCTTGGGGTACACGTGAATCTTGGTTCAGACCCGCTGAACAGAAGCATAAACTACAGCTACTTTCAGATTAATCAACTTGAGGGTTGAATTTTTATCCGTTGGTCGAACAAAGATCTTTTCCGAGAATCATCTCCGTGTCATGGAAACGACGCGAAGAATTCGATCAGTGTTGCGGCTAAACCAAACGACGATTTCATTCTTGACCCTTGACCCGCATGTCATGAGAGGCTGTAAACAAGAAACGTTCCTCTCAGATTAAGACCAACGGGTTCTTTGGTGTGGTTCAGTGGTGTACTCAAATTATTCAAGAATTAGGTCAGGGGTGGCTCGCCGCGTACACATTCTTCAAGGTACATGTAACAAGGACGTTGCTGAAAGTAAAAGATAGAGGAATCGAGGTATAAGCAGTAAAGAAACAATACTAATATACATCGGCGTAGGAAGGGGCGGTTCGGCCGCAGGGTGACACTTTTTAAAAAAAAAAATTATGGAGGGGTGGCATTTTTTGGCCAACTGCAGAGTTTTTCTTGGAAAGGGGAGACAAATATCTTCGCCACCCTCGACGGCACTTAAGCTAACAACGCCAATCATGGCCAATGGTAACATATGCGATGTGTAGTGTGCCAAAAAAACAAAATAAAAGTGTGTATGGGGAGAAAAGGTTATGGTACGCCTAATATTGCTTAAATTGCGTGATTTATTTTAAATACTTCATATGCGTTGACTTGTCTTAACAGTTGCGGTTTTAAAGAGATGACCTCCAAAATGATTGTGTTAAAGAGGTTGGGGGGGGGGTGGGCGTGGGTATTGGTAGATATCTACTCCTGAGTCAACTCATAGTTAAATTAAACAATAACCTTGTTGGACATAAACACTAACAGAAACACTGAGTTCTTTATATTCCAAAATGTACCTCTTGATTTTTAAATAATCCAAAATTTTCTGGGTATGACGTTTCCCAGACGCCTCTTCCACTCAAGAACCATGCCCCCCCCCCCTTTTTTTTTATCTCTGCCATTCTTCCCGATAAAAAATATCCCCATTTTTGTTGCCCACAGACGCGTAGCAGTATTAGTGCTGCCATGGGCATTCTAGGATTTTTGTTGCCCTCTCTTTCAGGATACAAAATCTGCAGTTGTCCACAATCCTGCCACTCCACATTAAGAAAAAGTGACACCTGGGAAGACAGCCCTATCCACCCTCTTTCTACGTCCCCGTCATGAGCGTAGCGAGCGTGTTTGGCGCCTGGGGACAAGATTCCTTTATACGCCCCACCCCCTTTTTTTAACTCTGAAGCCCATTATTTTCATCCAGTATTAAAAAAAACCAAAGTCCATTTTGTCGCCCCCGCAAGTCTAGCGCCTGTAGACATCTTTCTCTTCGTCCCTTCCCCCCCCCCCAACCTTCCTTTAGTTATGCCTCTGGCCGCTAGCACTGCTCCCACTCAAAAAAAAAAATCTGAAATGCCACCCCCCCTAAAAAAAAAATGCACTCCCACCCCCCCCCCCCCCCCCCAACCACGAAGGCAATTGTCTGAAAGAAACAATGCCAGCAACCCCTACAACTGCAGAAAGCCTTGGAGATTTCGGGGGGCTTCAAGTTGTGCGGTGGACGCTTTTTTCATGATCATATTTGAATGCAAGGTGGGGGAGGACAAAACTGAATAAGTGGCAGGCAATCTTTCCTCTAAGGTTTGTTGGTTCGTGTGCAAAATCATACAGTTGTGTGCAAAGTTTTACAGCTTCAATTTTTTTTGTGCGCAAAATTTTACAGCCCACTCACTTGGATGGAAATTTGCTGCGCGGTACTCAAAACTGCTGCGCGGCGTCTATGAGATAGCTGCGCGGCCGCGCAGCCGCGCAGCATAAAGGAACATTGGTGGCAGGGGCCTCGAAGTGTCAAACGGCTCTGATTGACCTGTTTGTGTTATAGAAATATATATTTTTTATTTATTACTTAATACTAATGTGGCGTTTATTTTTATTTATTTTGTGTTAGAATTAAAAAAAAAAAAACACCAAAAAGCACATTAGCTCCAAACAGGTTTCCATCTCCAAAAAAAGCACTGCTAACATCCTTTTACATGTTGAATGCATTTTTTTTTTAAAAAATCAAACCAAAAACGTACTTATAATAATTACCTTCTTTTCTAAATATTTGCAGGCTTTACCAGAGTCAAAAAGAAAAATAACTATTTTGTAGAGAGGTTTATACATTTTTATGGGTTTTCAATACTGGTCATTTTTATAATTCGCAGATTAACGGCTTAATTAGGTTAAGAATACATGAGATTTTTTCCAAAAACATCATATATTTATTTATCTGCGTTTTTTTCTGAGGGAAATCGAATATAAAATAAATTATAAATTTCCAATATTCAGTTGATTGAAATGTTTATTTGGAATTTCAAACTTTTATAAATTTCTTCAGATCAATTATAAATTGATTCTACTTACTGACTTACTCATTATGCAGTATGCTTTAATTCAATTATTTTTTACCAAATCAAGAAGATTTTTCTCCCCCCCCCCCCCCCNCCCCCCCCCCCCCAAAAAAAAAAATAGAATTAACCGTGTTATAAAAGTCGAGAGATGCCTTAAAGAAACAATGACAGCGATCCATATTTTGGGACAATTTAGCTTGTTACCTTTTGTAATAAAACATTATATAAAGTGCATCACACCCTCTTTAACTTGACACCCCACTCTCTTTTACCTGAAAGTGCATAAATCTGGACAGGAAGTAAATATTTATTTAAGATTTGTAAACTGATCACACATTTTATTAGAATCGATTCCTTTGAATTTTTGTATATCACTGAGTATTATTTACTATAAATTAATAAATAATAAAATATTTCAAAATATAGCCTGTTTTAAATTAATATAATACGAAGGACGAAATATCTTTTAATAAGTCATTGTTGTTTTCGTTTAATTATGAGAGATTGATCCTCTCAAACATAGTTCATAGTTCAAGAGTATATCAAGGCATCAAGGCATCTCTTTTGATCAAAGTGGAACATTAATTCAATTCATTGTTATGATATTATCTCTCGAAATTTATTTTAAAATTTTGAAAAAGAATAAAACACTATTGTATATGTTAATTAACTCCTGAATTTTCGTTAGAATGGTCATATTTTATCAAGTTTAAATAACACCAAATTTTGATTTCCCATTTGAATTATTAGTATCGATCTTATAATTTATTCAAATTGTATGGTTTTTATTTTATTTTTGTTCCCTACAACTTTTCATTGGGATTCATAGACTTACAGATAATAAATACAAACAAGTAGGCAAAAATTAAAGAGATTGGCGATTGTTTGGGTTATGATTTGCTTATGCATCTCAATCTTTCCGTTATAAAGTACTAGCACCTTCTCGTTCCACTTTGATGGAATGGTGCTATTGAACTTATTGGTTTTTATTTCATCTGACGCAGACTAAGACTAACTTTCAATAACTCACAACTGAAGTGAAGTTCAGGACTACTGAAAAGTAGAAGTCTGAACTGAAGACTAAATATAAAGTTAAAGAAAGGAAGCTGCAAATCTGTTTCGCGTTCGAGGTTTGTCAACAATTATTCTTAAAATAAGAAAGTAGGGGCATTAGATAGAACCTACTAATTTTATCAGTTAAGTGCACATATTTATTTTTAATTTTAAGTTAACGAATTCATTTTTTTGAGTCAGCAACGAGATTACTTGAATTTGAGTGTTTGATAAATTTTGGGTTAACGGTATGGATTTTGCCAAGAGTTGTCTCACCCTAAGCGCTGGACTTCGGGTGAGTGATAGACCTATTAATTGTAGGACCCAAACGATGTGTGTGATAAAATTTGTGTTCTTTACTATATAACTAAGCATTACTCGCTTCATAAACTTAAATGATACAGGTTAATATGAAGTTATATTAAAATGAAATTTTCCATTAATTTTTTAAAAAGTCAACTTACATGTTAGAGAAAATAAAGGAAAAAAAGAAACTCATCCTTGCTGATACCCCAAGACCCAACACAGATGAAAAAAAAATATGCGTGCCAAAAGTGTCGTACAGTCTAACCCATTTATCTTGACCTCAGTTAACTCGCCAACCCTGTTATGTCAATGTTTTGGAAGTGGAACTGTCAACTTCTCTCATTGTCTTAGCACTTAGCATTTTCTCCTCGGTTATGTCGATTCTTTTATATCACCGAACCCTGATATCTCGAGCACAAAAGGCGACCAAATTTGCCACTTAATCACGGTTATCTCGATCCCATGACCATTCGCCGGCTTTTGAAAATTATATTCAACAGAAACATGCCTACTTCAAACTGTAGTAATTGAATGGAATGACAACATTGTTATCCGATCATTTAACTTGACATAGCTAGGAATGAGAGGCTTGCAAACAAAAGAGAGAGGTCGTAGTACCTGTTCTATTTATGGCAAAACAAGAACTGGCAAATCCGGAGCAAGAGAAAATAAAAACTTGCAAATCCGGAGATGAAAAATATTTAGCCACACGAATCCGGAATTCCAGGATAATCCGGAATAGTGGCCCCCCACATATGCCTTGTGTTGTTAGCAAACATGAATGTATATTTTCATTATTATTATAAGTGGTGGTTTTATATGGTACCCTAGCCTAGGGCTGGGCTCACCATGCTGTACATACAATTTAAAAAACATAATCATGAACTTTAAAATTAACATACATTAATTAAATAAAACAAAACAAATGTATATTCACTCCCCACATTCAAGAACTATTTACATGTCAAGCCATGGACGGCTACACCGCAGCATCATTTATCGATCAGCGGGGGGGGGGGGGGGGGGGGGGGGGGGGGGGGAATCAGTCAGGATAGTAGTGTTTAAAGAGATGTGTTTTGAGTGCAGTTTTGAAGGCTGTGATGGTTGGTATATTGTGAATATGTAGTGGAAGAGAGTTCTATTGTTTGGGGATACAGAAAGAGAAAGATCGTTCAACGTATGTTTTTGTGTGAATCTTGGGGACAGAAAGAATACGCACTTCCGCTGAGGAACGAAGCTGTCAAAGTGGTAAATAGACAGAGAGAAGTTGATTAGATACGAAGGGCAGGAATTTGAGAAAAAGTTGTGGCAGAGAACAGAGTTTGTAGTCAATCTGTGCTTGTACAGGGAGCCAATGAAGTGAATGAAGTAGTGGTGGGACATGATCACGTTTCTTTTGCTTTAGAATTAGCCTTGCAGCTGAGTTTTGAACCTTTTGTAATTTTTCAATGAAGTGTTTTGGTGAACCTGATAGAAGATAGTTACAATAGTCAAGACAAGAAAGAACTAGTGCACAATGGTTTTGTAAAGTTTTATAGCATGCCGATTGCTTCATCAAACAAATCACGGTTACGCTGTTTTGTAAAAAAAAACTCCAAAACATGTGCATGTACATTCTCATTTCTAAACGCACATGGTGAACATAAAGAAATTTCAAGCACATGTTAATATATTGCCGCCATATTGGTTATCGGTTATCTTGAACATCGGTTATCTCAACGTTTTTGGCAAACCTCGAGGCCGGCAGGTTCATAACTGGGTTCGGCTGTATTTTTATTTGTTGAAAATCAAAACACTGTATGTTAAAACGTCTGTAACAAAAGGGAGACTGATGCTTAAATTGCCTTTGGAATTATCTTCAAATACCAAAATATGAAATTAAGAAATCTTCTCCAAAAGATCTTCTCCAGTACGTCACTGTAGATGAAGTTGGCCTGGAGGAACCTTTGTGAACCATATACTGTGGAACACATCACCGGCCTTACCGCTAACCCAAAATCAACTCTTTTTTAAAATTAAGTTACCTCCAGTCAGTAATGCCTAGTAATTAAATGGTAATTTAAATAGTACTAAAATAATAATAGTTCACTAACACTAACTCCGTTCAGCACTAACTTTTCTTTTCATTTAATTTCTAAAGTGTATTTGAACAGCCCCCAATGGTATATAGCCGGTGAATCATCTCTCCATTTGTTTTTTTGTTTTTTACGGTTATATGCCAGATCTTTTCACCTATGTATAAGTTGGTATGCTAAATTTTAAAAACTGAAGGCTTGTTCACAAAAAGAATTATATGCTAGTGGATTCTGACCTTAAAAAAATTTTTTTTTGTTTTGAACTGTGGGTCGAAAATGCGACATAATATGTGATGCCACCAGGAACAGGATTACACAGGGAGTGGGATCACTTCTTGAAATGGGATACCAAATGAGGAATGGGATCCCATCGAGGAAGGGATCCCACTGGGAATGGGATGTATTTCTGACATAATAACTAATGTATGTTTTATTTATGTTAAACATCAATAAGTGATTTTCTATTTTTAATATCTTGTTTCGCTTTTGTGAACATGTCTTTAGTTTGAAAATTTCATTTAGCATACCATCTTATATCCATGAGGTTTATCCATGTGTTATGACCATTGTTTCTTTCAGAACACTTTTGTTCACAAAAAAAAAGGAGGGGGGGGGGGGGGGAATGTTTAGGCAATCAGGAATGGGGCAGGGCATATATCACCGCCAAAATTAGACATAATGCCTTCCAGAACCAGTGCTTTTTGTTATTCCTTCAGTATTAGGGGCAATCCATAATGACGTCATGCATAATCCATTGAAAAAAGGTGCCGTACACTGTTTGGGTGTTTTTTTCAACAAAAACAGTTTTACCCAGGACCATCTGTGATTCCTTCACCCCACCATTTTTTAAAAAACATAAATTTATTGCCCTTGTGGCGCCACCTGTCGGTATGCTTTTTGGCCAAGCTTAGTTTCTCCCCTGGAATCTATATAGTGCAACGACACCAAAATAAAGTAAAATATTATAACTTCAAGAAAATGATTTTAATTACTTACATCTAAATTCAAATAATTTATTTGTTTAAACTACTTCATTAATAAATGAATATTTTTACAAAATATTTCTGTTCCCAAAAGTTGTTCATCACAACAACAAAAAAGCACTGTTGTACGAAAAATAAACAGCGATATAATATAAGTATAACAATTACCCTTTTGCATTTATTTAAAATATAAATAATTCCAAGCCTTACAGATAGAAAAAAGTGAGCAAATGCTGTTTTATAGAAAAGATCTAGATTTTTTTTTTGTTGCAATTTAAATGTAAAACTGCTTATTTTATAAAATGCTTGGGACAGATCAAAGATAACACATTCTGCCATCTACCTTCCTTCTGCTGCTCTAAGCACTTACCCTCAGATCAACTGCATAATTAGAAAATACTTCAAAGTTGGAATAGCCATTGCATTTTATACTTTTATTAGAACATTTTATTTTATCCTGCTTTCAGGCAACTGTTTGGCATTGAAACTGTCACTCAAAATGAAGTCGTGCATACCAGCAAAAGATAAAGATGAAGAAGAGATGAACCAAGAAGTTCCACAAAATTTCATCCCACCCAGTCAGCCTCGTAGTAATGCAGGTAATTCAACACAGCCAACATCTGCCCGTCAAAGAGATTCATCACCCATATCGTGGCAACCCACATCCGCGCCAAGACGCATCTCTTCTCCTCCCCAGACACCAGCACTTCCAACTGCCAAGTTAAGTGAACATCACAACTGGCAGGCGTCGGTGAACAGTGTCCATGAAAGAAATGCAGTCATGTTTAACAACCCTCTCATGGCAGACGTATTTTTTACTGTTGGGGTAACTGGTCATCAAAAGAGAATCCCTGGTCACAAATTTATCCTTGGTTCGGGGAGTTCTGTTTTCTTTGCCATGTTATATGGTGGTCTGGCAGAAGAAGTCAAGATTATGGAGATCAACATACCAGATGTGGAACCAACTGCTTTTCTTAATTTATTAAGGTTGGTTAATGGTATTAGTTATAGGTTAATTAATGGCCTTTTTTATTTTCTCTCTAAACATTGTTCCTCCAAAACTTTATTTGGAATTACTTAAAACCACTTGAAATCAAAAATATGTTCTCGGTTACTAAAATTATTGAACATTTTCTGAATTGTGCAGTTTAATTGTGCATATTTAAGATTGCATTTTTTTTTTGCTATTCATTTCTTAATTTGACAATGATTCAAAATGCATAATTTGGAATGAGAATTTATGGGGCCATTCAGCTGGCTTTCTGCTTTTATTCTTTTTAACTGAAATGTGTTTGCCTCTTTTATGACATTACTGAAATAACCATCAAACTTCTTAAAACTACCTTGAGCTATCAATACACTTCTATTAATATCAATGGTGCCTCTCCCCCATGATCCGTGAGGCACCATACTGAAAGTTTGCACGGTCTAGGCATGGACCAGAAAAATACAAGGTTTGCAAGCCAAAACAAAATTAGGCTGAATACTTGAGACTGCATGATTAAATTCAACATGACTATCATTTATATTGAGGACAGATTTAAATTCAATTATTATTTCAATTTTTTCCTTAACTCTGTCTTCCTAATTTTCCTTTTTTTATAAATATATTCCAGATCAATTGTAGGAGCTCTTTTGATTTTGCGTCTGTTTATGGTTACTATGCACCTCTCATAACAACTTTATGTTTCAAAACTCTAGTTAATCACACATCTATCTTTTTTTTTTTAATAGATTTTTATACTGTGATGAAATTTGGATCGAAGCTGACACCGTTCTGGCCACCCTGTATGCTGCAAAGAAATATATTGTGCCTCAGCTTGCAAAAGCTTGTGTTCGTTACCTTGAAACGAGTCTCAGTGCTAAAAATGCATGTGTTCTTCTAAGTCAAGGTCGGTTATTTGAGGAAGTAGAACTTATGCAGCGATGCTGGGAAGTTATTGATGCACAAGCTGAAGAGTCACTTCTTTCTGAAGGCTTTACTGATATTGATAAGCGAACTTTAGAAACCATTTTGTCTCGAGAAACACTGAACACAAAAGAACTCAGTATATTTAATGCCGTGTGTAGATGGGCGAAAACAGAATGCATGCGGCAAGACTTTAATCCAACACCTCAGAATCAGAGACGTGTGCTAGGAGAATGTATTCATCTTATTAGATTCCCTTCAATGTCTCTTGAAGATTTTGCAAACGGCCCTGCCCAAACCGGTATCTTAACACTGCAAGAGTGCCATGATCTTTTTCTTCATTTCACTGCACAACTGTCACCAAAGTTGCCATTCAACAAGCTGAACAGAAAGGGACTGTCACAGTACAGAGTTCACAGGTTTCAGTCATCAGCTTACCGTAGCAATCAGTGGCGATACCGTGGCCGCTGTGACAGCATTCAGTTTTCAGTGGATAGAAGAATATTTATCGCTGGATTTGGGCTCTATGGATCCAGCAATGCTACTTCAGAGTATAAAGTCAAGATAGAATTAAAAAGGAATGGATTAGTTGAAGGGCAATGCTCCACAAAATTCTTGTCGGATGGCTCAAGCAATACCTTTCCAGTTTTATTTGAAAGCCCGGTGCAGATAGAAACGGAGACATTTTATACAGCAAGTGTGATTCTAGAGGGTAAAGAGTTGAGTTATTTTGGTCAAGAAGGTTGCGCTGAAATTCAGTGTGGAAAGGTTACCTTTCAATTTCAGTGCTCTTCTGACAGCACTAATGGAACTGGCGTCCAAGGTGGACAAATTCCTGAGTTAATTTTCTATTGTTGATGAAGCACTGGTAGCCTTTGAAATCCAATTTTTTAAAAAAGCTCAAAGCTTATTTCCATTGCTCCCTTTAGGCTTTTGCCAGTAAAGTTAGCTGTAAACTATACATCAACTTAGTATAATCTTTTTTATCTTTCGTTATGGCACAATCCATAAATTATTTAGTACAAAAAGTTCAAAAAATATTTTTAAAATGCGATAAAATCTCATCCCCTAATATTTGACACCATAAATTTGTAGACACACCATAATGCAATAAACCCTGTCCTACAAAGCATTGGCTGTTTATCAAACATTTTCCAGAAGATAGATTCACTTTGATATTCATTGAAACTAACTTATTATTTGGTTTTTTAAGTGGAAATAATTAAAAGGTGGCCTCATCTGAGATTTTCAGTAAAATGCCCCACTTTTAAAAAAAACTTCTGTATATAATTTATACATTTGCATGATTCTTTGTTGTTGTTTTTTTTTGTATATTAACTGTAAATAATGTATATTTTGTTATTTGCATGCATTAGATAAAATAAAATTGATTTGCACTGATTCAGGTACTCAAGACTGCCACCTTAGCAACAGTGTATAACTTCCTCTATTAAAATATATATTGTAATTGATACTTAATTGGTTTTTAGAAATTATTTTCCAATTGATTTTTAGAAATTATTTTGAATTTTATCTTGGCTGAAGACAATCCACATAATGCTTTCTTTTACTTTAGGCAGATGGGATATAAAAAAAACCAACACATTGGTTATTTCTAAAAGTGTCTGAGATCAGTGGTGAATAACTCTGGCATGATGATAAGCTCCCTTTTGCTTTCCTTTAATACATCCTTAGCAAATTATTCATACAATTACAATATATAAATAAATAAGCCGTTTAGTTATATGTGGCTACTAAGATTCTGTGCTAAACATGCATTCTTCTTTACCAATTTGTAGCCAAATAATTATATTAGTTTAGTGTCTCTAAAAATATAAAAGAGTACAGTAAAATTATTATCCACTTGTGGCTTTTCAATTTTCAGAGTGCAAAGTATGATTTATGACATGGGTAAATGTAATAAGGGCTAACAAATGTTTAACACTACATAATTATTTGAGGCACAACCACTCTAGTACTCCTTGACTTAACCCAGTACAATATTTGTTGGATGTGATAATTTACCTAGTTTTTGTCCACCCTATCCTTACTTATCTGAACAAAGTATGATAAAAATTGAGTAAGTTTAGGTTTCTTTAGGAGAATGAGAAAAAAAAATGCAGTTTCGTGTCTTTTGATTCAAGCTTCCTCATACCTTGTTTCACTATTTCCTGGATTAAATCTCTCCAAAATATGATCAATACCTATGTAAAGTCCATGTGTTGTTTAGAATCCAGTGAAGTAGTATTGATTTTTCATCGATGTGTGTATATTTTACTTTTAAAATTAAATTATGTTAATAAAATTCATGATGACTGTGTAACATCCAGTATTAAATAAAAATCCGGCCTGCTGAAGTTGTTGTGCATGATTTTGTTTTGCTAATTATCTTTAACCTGTGATAAAAAAATTTTGAATGATGTGTTTCTTGAGATTCCCATTTCAGGGGTGTTAATTCAGAGAACAATGACTTTTTTTTTTTTTAAATAACTTATTCTCAAGTAGTTTAATATTGAAAAATAATGGCCAACATGTGAATTATTGAACTTTTTTTTGCATTTAATTCTAACGTTTGATTTTTTTTTTTATTTTAAATTTATCTTTAACCTGTGATAAAAAAATTTTGAATGATGTGTTTCTTGAGATTACCATTTCAGGGGTGTTAATTCAGAGAACAATGACTTTTTTTTTTTTTTTAAATAACTTATTCTCATGTAGGTTAATATTGAAAAATAATGGCCAACATGTGAATTATTGAACTTTTTATTGCATGTAAATCTAACGTTTGATTTTTATTCTTATTTTAAAAAAAAACATCATACTAAATCTGGGTCTCCTCAACAATTAGTTATGATATTTTTTCTCTTTAGATTTTACAATACCATTATGTTGCTCATGCTGAACTAGCGCCTACAGTTAATTGTCTGAACCCCCAAGATGTGTTGTAGGTGCAGCTGTTTGCCCGGTGAAGAGGTTCTCTTCATCCAATGTTGCATCGCTACCAGCCACACTTCATAGTGGATGCCCAATCAAGTTTTCTTCTCTAAAAGATTTTTTACAGATTTTCATGTAACATTAATTTATAAGGAAATGTCAATAATTGTCTCACTTGACAGTAATATTAGATGCTATTGGCCCTCTATATATTCAAGGCATGAAACATTTAATACTTGAGTGGGCTTCCTGTAATTTTGTTAAATCCCTGTGCACAGCCAACTCAACAGTGGCTGTAAAAAGTGCACAGAGTATTAATCTATCCTCTGTTGTATCTTTTCCCTCACAGACATGCAATCTGGTTTTCAAAGTCTGCCACACCAGCAACAATCTCATATTTTAAATAAAGCCAATTAATTAATTTTTTTTAATGTACAACTTATTTCAATTCTGAATCTAATATTCTTTGCAGAGTGCTGCCTTGAAAAATACTTAAATATATTATGCCTCGCCAATTCACTCGGCTGGTTCACCAACTTCCATCAATTAGTATGGATAGTGAGCGGGGCAAGATGTAAAATTTCAGTTTCATGTGATGTAATCAATTGTGATGATAACTTCATAGTGTAGCACTAGAGTTTTGTGAAAATAAAAGTGAAATAATTGTTTGTGTTTGCATCAACCAAGATTTTTAAAAATATCTCTTTTCATTTTTGTTTTCATACATGGATTTGATAGAATATGGAAGTGGATAGTGTATGAATGGACAGTGTGAAAGTGGGATGTTATGTCATACATGTATTTTATAGAATATGGAAGTGGATAGTGTATGATGGACTGTGTGAAAGTGGGATGTTATGTCATACATGTATTTGATAGAATATGGAAGTGGATAGTGTATGATGGACTGTGTGAAAGTGGGATGTTACGTCATACATGTATTTGATAGAATATGGAAGTGGATAGTGTATGATGGACTGTGTGAAAGTGGGATGTTACGTCATACATGGATTTGATAGAATATGGAAGTGGATAGTGTATGATGGACTGTGTGGAAGTGGGATGTTACATCATACATGGATTTGATAGAATATGAATGCTGCTGAGGTATGATGGACTGCATGAAAGTGGGATGTTAAGTCATGCAGTCAAATATTCAACACGTTGGCTAGTGCTATTCTGTTAAACCAGATGTTCCCAAATAGTGTTAATTTCTCTTTTCCCTTTCTAAGTGTAGGTTTTCCCAAGGCGCCCTATACTACGTGTGCCTGGTTCTAATATGTACGCTGTGAAATAGTAAATAATTGTTTGTTTTTTAAAATTTATTGTTAGTAAACAACTAAAAACAGTCTATGTCAAAACAGCGTACCATTTGGTAACTTCTGCAAACTTTAATTACTTAGTGAGTTACTAGTTTGCACAAGGTCCACTATATTTTGCATCCCTTAACAATGAATGGAAAACGGAAATAAAGATATGAACATTTCCTAACGCCCCGTTGAGGAACCTTTGTGTTGAACTATTGAATCTTTCAAAATTTTCATACTCCCTAAGAAGAATTTTTAAAATTTATTTCTATGTTCTTTTAATTTTTTCTGTCAGTGGTTAAAATAATTGTATAAACCAGTGGGCTGTAACAGAGATAATTCTCAATTTGCGACACAACTTTGGGGGAGGGGGGGGGGGAAGTTGTGTGCAGGACAAAGATTGGAGGGGGGTAGTTGTGTGCAGGACAAAGATTGGAGGGCCATATGAGTTCTGACATTTTGAGACCACCTGGCCTATGTAGTTTCGTATACTTATTTAAATTATTAATACTCTGATATTCCACCATTTTGTAAAAAAGATTTTTTTTTGGGGGGTGGTTACAATTAAAATCTTCAACTGAATGCTATAACTTTCAACCATTTTTCCTTTAAGTTTAAAGTAAGCTTAGCAGATTTTCTGGATGCCAAGTTCGGACGCTAATGTTCTCAGCAGCCGAGTGGGGTGGGGGCTTTAAGAAAAATTGTTTTGCATGATCTTTAATATCCTTCTGTCATCATTTTGTTTGAAACTATATCTTATATATTATTTTGCTTCTAGTGTGTCCTCCTTCCTGTTCACAACTGGCCCTCCGTGGTTTCTATTATAGTACTGAGTGTGTGGGGTGGGGGGGGGG